TCAAAAAAAAAAAATTATAAGCATACCTTTGATTTCCTAAGCAAATAGAAAACACTTCTATGATATTATAATTTATATTGTTTTTGATGGAAATTCTACTTTAAAATAGTCGATTTCGTTCACCTTATCCTAACAACTCTCTCATACTTTTGATCTGAATTAAGAATAAAATGAAAATATGAATTACAGCTTTTCCTTACGTATTAGACTAATTTGGTTTGAGCATGATTGAGTTGATTGGTTTGAGTATGAATGATTTTGATAACTTGGATTCAGATACGATTTAAGATTTAAACTTATTCATTAGTATTATCTGTAGTTCAAACCATATATATATATATATATATATATATATATATATATATATATTTCAGTGTTACTAAAACTATCACTTCTCTGTAGTTCAAACCATACATTAACAACTCCCATTTTTTTTCAAATTGTAACAGAGAAATGAAAGCACCTGCACATAAGAAAGAAGGAAGTTTTGAAATTCAATGAAAGATGATGTGAGGACTAACGATAATGAAGTTGTATAGCTATTTTGCTACATATATAGAGAAGAGCAACCAAGGATGTGAGATCATATACTTTTGTACTCAAAACTAATTTTTGAAAAGTTGATTGATACGAATGTAAACAGATTTTAATATATTTCACATTGTTAATACAATTTTGAAACCCGCAGCGTTCAATTGCTAGTATATCCTAACATTGAGAAAATAATTTCTTGTCTAATATATATACGGAGAAAATAATTTCTCATGCTTTAATAATGAAAATAATATCCTACCCCGCTCTGCAAGTAAACAAATAGAGAGATTAGGAAACCAATTAACTCCAACATGAGGGGAGGGGACTTCTCGTACCTGCGGAAGGGGAACAATGGCTAAACTGTCGATTAAGAAACCAATTGACCCCTGCATTGGCCCATCTATCATTCGCACGCAAAATCTCTCGATAAAATCGCAGTCGAGGCAACACGAATCCTCCAGAAATATCATAGATCCGAAGTACAATGTAATTCAAGTGGAAACACGAATCCTCCAGAAATTCATAGATCCGAAGTACAATTTTCAATATATAGAAAAGATCGGTGAATGATGGGTGACTCACTGAGAAGTTCTCGTGTGAGTTCCTAGAAACAAAACCGTGAGAGCGTGGTCGGGGTCCAAAACGGATAATATCGTGCTACGGTGGAGTCAAGCCTGGGATGTGGTGGGGGCCCGGGCCAGGATGTGACAGCCTCGCTAAAAGGAACCTAATGGATCGTACACCGTATAAGGTAGAGATTGAAGAAACAACGGAGATGAGTAAGGATAAATAAACGGTTTAATTATTTATGGCTAGGATTATTTAATATATTAATTAATCAAACGAATATGTTCATTTTAGCTTTTGAGTAATTATTGGACCTCAAGGCCCATTGGGCTTAGAACCGTCAAGCCTATTAACTTCAGTTGTATGACAACTTAATGACTAAAAACTCAAAAGGGACCAAACAACCCAAAGCCTTTAGAAGGCCGACCATATTGTAAATGAATGGGCTTTGGTTCTTTTTGTTACATAAGTGAAGTGACTATATAAAGGACTTTATAGCCAAAAAGTTGATTAGGGTTTTCTAGAAAGAAAAGATGAGAACACAAAGCTCTATCTTCTCTTAGGAGGCCGGCCACCCTAGAGGAAAATAGCTAGCTATCTTTCTTCCTCTAGGTCACTCATCTCTTCCTCAATGCTCTTCTTGGTGTAGAGGCTTAGAGGTTCCCTATTTTGGGAACTTGGAGAATCCATTCCTTCATCCATCCAAAAAGTCATGGAGCCAAGAAGTAAAGTTCCTCCATCCACATCCATGGAGTCAAGGAGCAAGGAGACTAAGGAAAGAAGGCCCTCACATGGGTGAATATCCTTCGCTAAGCAAAGAGGTGATTCAAAGGTATAAAAGTTTCTCAACTTTTTTCTTTAAGATTTGAGTTGAATCTTGGTTCACCACAATTACTAGGCCTTGAATTTCATGGGTAAAGTTTTATTTTGAGTGCATACAAGCATGATTCCGCATTTTAATTGTTAATTGCATGCATGGATGTTGCTCAAATGAACTAGTTTTCAAAAAATAATTCCTTCAGAGATATCAACAAATCATTATGAAGAATCAAGCACCGAGAATAACATCCATAATGAAGAACAAGATTTCGTTGATTATGTAGAAAGACAAGATGAAGAAGCTGTGAATGATGATGTTCAAACACAAGAAGAGTGCATTGCCAAGAGGAAAGGAAAAAGAGAGATCATGCTTCTTACCAGATTCAAAGATTGCATTGCATGTATGGCATACACTTTACTAGTGATCGAAGTTGATATTCCTACAAGTTTTACTGAAGCAGTGAGTAGTGGAGAAGCAAAGCAATGGCATGAAGCTATGGATGACGAGATGTTGTCACTCAAGAAGAATAAAACCTAGGAATTGGTGGAGTTGCCTAAGGGAAGAAAGGCTATTGGATGCAAGTGGATATATGCAAAGAAGGATGGAATAGATGATGCAAGTCAGGTGAGTTTCATAGCTAGACTAGTGGCTAAAGGATATGCTCAAAAAGATGCAATAGATTATAACGAAATCTTTTCTCTTATAGTGAAACACTCATCTATTCGAATTCAACTTGCGCTAGTGGCACAATTTCATCTTGAATTAGTTCAGTTAGACGCAAAAACTGCATTCCTACATGGAAATTTGTCTGAAGAGATTTGCATAATGCAACCTGAAAGGTATGAAGAAAAAGGAAAAGAAGGTTTAGTCTGCAAGCTCAACAAGTCACTATATGGTTTAAAACAATCACCATGCAATGGTATTTAAGGTTTGATAAGTTTATGAAGGATCAAGGCTACACTAGAAGCCATTATGACCATTGTGTGTACCACAAGAAATTAAGTGGGGGGAGGGGGGTACATATGGAGATGAAAGATCTTGGGGAAGCAAGGAAGATTTTGGGGATGGAGATCACAAGAAACAGGAATGAGGGATTGGTCTATTTATCACATAAATAGTACTTGGAAAAATTGCTGCATAAGTTTGGAATTAATGGGGAAACCAAACCTGTAAGTACACCTCTTGCTCCTTATTCTAAATTGAGCACTCAACTATGCCCTAAAAATGATGAAGAAAAAGCCAAGATGAAAGATGTTCCTTATTCCAGTTTGGTTGGAGGGTTGATGTATGCTATGGTATGCACTCGCCCCAATATTGCCCATGCAGTTGGAATTGTTAGTAGGCTTATGCATAATCCTGGAAAAATACATTGGGATGCTGCTAAATGGATACTGAGATATCTTCATGGAACAAGAAATACAGGAATTTTTTTTGAAAGGATTGATGGAGAAATTGATAAGTTCTTAATAAGTTCTTAATTGGTTATGTGGACTCTGATTTTGCTAGTGACTTAGACAAAAGAAGGTCTACGACATAGTATGTATTTACTATGGCAAAAGGTCATGTATGTTGGAGATCAATATTACAACCAACCGTTGCTTTATCAACTATAGAAGCTGAATATTTGGCGATGGCTGAGGCTATTAAGGAAGCTATTTGGACACTTGGATTGATAGAAGATTTGGGTGTAAATCAACACAAGTTGGATGTGTATTGAGATAGTTAAAGTGCCATTTACTTGGCAAAGTATCAAATACATCATGTAAGGACCAAGCATATAGAAGTGAGATATCATTTTGTTCAAGAGGTTATAGCTGAAGGTGAAATTCTAGTCAAGAAGATTGCTACGGCTAATAATCATGTTGATATGTTAATGAAGATAGTTGGTGAATCAAAGTTCAAGCATTGCTTGGATTTGGTGCACGTTAGACAAGTTTGAAAACTTGATAATGGTGGAGCAATGGAAGCAGATGAAGGTCTATGATGTGGATTTCTTACCAAGGTGGAGATTGTTGGAACTGGTATGAAATCAGGTTTGTATTCCTAACTAAGATAGGAATCCAAGTTGTAATGGGTGTAGGAGACTTGGACGCAAGTTTCCAGGTGGTTTTTGGATTCCAACTTAGTTTAGGATTAGGTTTGTAGCCAGGTTATCTACTATATATATAGGTAAGCCTTAGCATTAGGATGTGTGAATTCTGAGAGACTTGTAAGGCAGGAGAACTATTGTGAGAGAGTTTGTGAGTTCTTTTGTAATTGCTTTATTGATTTGTGAGTTTGTGAGCCTTAGCAAGCTTATGTTGTTTATATCTGTGTGATTGTTCTTGGTTTAATCATATTGATCGTGTTCCAACAAAAGCTCCACTTGTAATTTTAAAACATTAAAATTTAAAAATAAATAAACAAAAAACTCTTTGAATATCCCATCCAGAAACCCAACAAAGTCTCTCTCTTTTTGTTAAAATTGCCATTAACACTTGCAAATTCTAAAAGATACCCAGAAGACAGATTGAAAGCAATTGATGTCTTGGCGAATCTTATCAAAGGAAGACGATGGCGAATCTAGTAGGAGAAAAATGACATTGCGGCTGGTGGGGCGACGACACTGGCAAGGTGGGTGGGTGTTGGTCTCCGTCGCCGGGTTTGGGTGATGGGTGGCAGTGGCTGTTTGGTCGAAGGGGAGGGGAAGGTGTACTTCTCAATTCTCAGGGTTGGATTAGGTTGAATATTTAATTAACTTTTTTTTTTTTTTTTTTTTCAAAGACATTTAATAATAAAGTTAACTCTAGTTAGTTAGTGGGACATGTGGCAAGCTATTAAGAAGAGGTGAGCATCTACCAGAATTAATGGTGATTTGAGCAAAAATGGTCTCGAACCGAATACAACAAACTAACAGATTACATACATTATATACCCTTCTAAAAGCCGATGGATGAGTATTATTATTAACAGTGTCTATCCGGTTTTACCCCTCATTCTCTTCATGTTCTTTTAGGCTTTAGTGGGGTTGTCTGGTGAATTGACCACTTTGCCCCTCTCCCATTTTTTTTCCCATGCGTGTGTGTTGTGTTTTCCAAGGGAGATGCTGGAAGCATCTTCCACTTTTCACTTTCCTCTTCAATTCTTCTCTTTGTCTTTCCATTTCTCTCTATTTCTCTGTCTGTCTTTCGGTTTTGATTCCGACTGGATCGTGTGGAAGGTTGTTTGGCCTGTTTTTCTCGCTGTTTTCCGCGGTTTAGGTGTGTTTGTTCATGGATTGCTTTATTTCCGTTTCTCTCTTTTGCTTTATTTTCCTCCCAGCGTAAAATTAGTTTTCATGTCCTTAAACGCTAATCTTTCTCCTCTATCTTTAAAATCCATCTGAAAAAATGTATAATGGGTATTGTTTCTCTTTGCAGGTTACTCGGAGAAGTCTGTGAAGGGTCAATAGGACAAGGTGGATCAAAGTGCAAAAGATACAGGGCCTGCCTCTCTATGCATTTCCTATCTTCCAAAAATCGTGTTCGTGGAGACGATTTGAGATGGATTTGAAGCTCGTCTACAGAGATTTGATTCAAATTGGTGGATTTGGGTAAGAAACCAAGGAACCCTAATATTTTCTTTTGGTTTTAAGAGAATTATCATAAAATCCCTCCGAAGTGTTTGTGATTCCAAATCTCATGAACTTTTCTTAAACTCATCCCTTTCCCATGTAGCAAATCACAGCTCTAAAATATTCCAATTAATTAATTAATTATCATAAGCTTTTTTTAGAGTACTACTTCCATATTTGTTTTGTTGCAATGGATTTGAAGTTTCCTGGGCTTGGATTCTTGCAGTATTCCCTATTGTTCGCTGCTAAACAACTGCCTTCCTCAACATTCGAGCTTTGCATGCAAAAATTCGTTTCATGTTGTTTGAACCCAAATTTACACCATCGGCCCGTGTAATTAAGGCCGTTGAATGTGCATAACTTCACAGTCATATGAAGAAATTAAGATAATTTTATTGTTAAGAGATAATATTATGATTTTTAATCATAATGATTGTTTTTTAATAGTGAATTATCTTGGTTTTTCTCTTGTTCCAGATAAACATGATGCAAATAATATCTCTAACCTACAATTCAAATTAATTGGAGATATTCGGCATATGGCAGTGCATCTACTACTGGATTAATTTCATGCAATTAATCTTTGCATGGGATAAAGGTGAAATTATGAGATGGTGATGTGATTAGGATGACATCTAAACAAAAGAATAGGCTTCAGCCTATGGGCGCATTGGAAAGAGTCCATTGGCACGAGGATAGTGACACGGTGATCTCTTGACCGTGGATCACATGATGATAGGATAAAGCCATCATTGTTAGGTCAGATGAGGTCAATTAAAAAGAGATAATGGTAGGGATCCGGATGCATGCATTGGTAAAGATTATGAAGAAGCCTAGATAGGCTTGGTTTCTGATGTGATGTGATAAGTCTAATTTTTATTAGGTTTGAAAAGTCAAGGAATAAATCCCACGGATCAGTTTGAAGGATATACCTTTGCTTCTGATGCGGATCAAGTTCAGTTCCGCAAATTAGAATTGCAATTGGACTCTACAAAACTATCTGGCTGCGCCACACAACATTTGCCTATAAATACAGAGTCACAGGCAACATGTGAAAGGTCTCCAATTCAACACACAAATTGCCCTGCGCAAACCTCTCAAACACCTTGAGATTTTCATTTTCTTTTTTCACCAACTCACCTTCAGTTTGGATAAACAACAATTTTCTTTTTTCACCAACACACCCTCAGTTTGGATAAACAGCACTGTGAAGACAACTGGTGACATCTTCAGTTTGGATAAACAGCACTGTGAAGACAACTGGTGACATCTTCAGTTTGGATAAACAGCACTGTTTCTCGGTCGACTGATTACCAATCCAAGTCTCGGTCGAGAAGGAATTTCGAATCCTTATTGGCAGAGTTCATCTCATTAGCCTTCTCGGCGAAGTGAGGTGTTACAGGTTACTACATTCGACATATTGAAAGCCGAATTTGATTGAACTTCGCAGAACTAGCAGCCTTGTCTTCAGGCTCTAGAACCCAAAGGCCGAGACGTGTTCCTTCCTTGGCAGCAGTTGCAAGATCAAGAAGTCAACAGCGCGCCCAACGCGACATCAACACATTTTACTCTTCGGCCGAGCTCGGCCGACGAGTTGGCACGCTCCGCACACAACCGAATGACGTAGTTAGTTTATTAATTACTCGGCCTGCGCGCCACGTAGGCTTGGTAATTTTTAAGGTCAACACATGTATAAACAAATTTTTAAAATCAGGAAGTGTTGGGACTTTCTCGCTTCGATCGGTATGTTAAATAGCTTTGTCCAAGTTTGTATGAATAATTAGTGAATAATTTGTTGTTTTAGGTTTTTTTTATTTGGATTTTTTGTGTGGGATTTGTTAGAATGTTTTGTTTCTTATTGTTCGTTTTTTTTCCTTCCTTGGGATTATTATTTTGATTTTGTGCATTTTTAGGTTAGTTGTGATAAGTCTGGTTGTTCCCGTAGTTATAAGACTCAACCATTTAGTTTGTTTTGGTTTTAAATAAGTTCCTATTATCTAGGAAGACTTGTTCTACGTAGAATATTTCCTCATGCACGTCACCTTTCGAGTAGTGTGGATCGTGAACTGGTTTTTAGGGTTTTTGTTACTTCTGTAAGGCTATATAATATCCAAACTCTTCTTTTAATAAATAAGTCATTCCTCCAGATTGTTTGAGTTATTTGCAGTATTACTTTGAGTCTTTATAGTGTTGCTCTTGTATATTTTGTTCTTGATCTCAACAAACTGGTATCAGAGCCCCACTGGGGCCTGAGAACCGAAAAGCTGCAGCTTTTGAGTGACTTCCAAACACAAGAGAGAAAGAGAGGAAAATGAGTTCTGAAGGAAACTATGTGCAGGCGTCCATTCCACGTTTCGATGGTCATTATGATCATTGGAGCATGCTCATGGAAAATTTCCTTCGAAGCAAGGAGTATTGGAGTTTGATTGAAACTGGTTATGAAGAACCAGCAAAGGGGGCACAACCCCTATCAGAAGCACGACAGAAAGAGCTTGATGCAATGAAACTCAAGGATCTCAAAGCCAAAAACTATCTTTTCCAAGCAATTGATAGAAGTATTCTAGAGACGATGTTGGAAAAAGACACCTCCAAGAAGATCTGGGATTCCATGAAAACGAAATATGAAGGGAATGCACGAGTGAAGTGCTCAACTCTTCAAGCGCTATGAAGAGACTTTGAGACTCTTGAGATGAAGGTTGGTGAAACAATCACTAATTACTTTGCTAGAGTGATGATCGTAGCAAACAAAATGAGAGTCTATTGGGAGACCATGACTGATGTCACGATCTGTGAGAAAATCCTGCGATCTCTCACAGACAAATTCAATTATATAGTTTGTTCGATTGAGGAATCTAGGGACTTGGATGCAATCACCATTGATGAACTTCAAAGCTTGCTCACTGTACATGAGCAAAAGTTTCACAGAAGCAGCAGTGTGGAGCAAGTTCTGAAGGTGACCACTGATGTCAAAACTGAGGGGGGTAGCAGCACTTATAGAGGACGAGGACGTGGAAGAAGCAATTATAAAGGACGAGGACGTGGAAGGGGAGGCCAAGTGTTCAACAAGGATACTGTGGAATGCTACAAGTGTCACAATCTTGGACACTTCCAGTATGAATGTCCAAAGTGGGAAAATGAGGCTAATTATGCAGACGTAACTGAAGAAGATGATATGTTATTGATGTCATATGTTGAGTTACCTGAACAGACTGACGCTTGGTTCCTTGACTCAGGATGTTCCAACCATATGTGTGGCAGTCAAGGTATGTTCACAAATCTAGATGAAACCTTTGTCCATTTAGTCAAATTGGGAAACAACAGTAGAATGAATGTGGTTGGCAAAGGAAGTGTCAAGCTGTTTTTAAATGGAATTACACATGTTGTCCATGAAGTGTACTATGTTCCAGAGCTCAAAAACAATCTCTTGAGCATAGAACAACTTCAAGAAAGAGGCCTGACTATATTGATTCAAGAGGGAGTTTACAAAATATATCATCCAACTAAGGGTCTGATTATTCAGACTGAGATGAGTAGGAACAGGATGTTTATACTACGAGCTCAGACGCTAGTCTCTACAAATGTTCAACCAGCAAGGTGTTTTCACACAAGCTCACAGGATCTCCCTTATCTTTGGCATCGAAGATACGGTCACCTAAGCCACAAGGGTTTGAGAATTTTACAACACAAGAAGATGGTTCGTGGACTTCCTCAATTCCAAACCTCAAATACCACATGCACAGACTGCATTCAAGGCAAACATCATCGAAATGAGATGCCAACAAAAAGTACATGGAGAGCAAGTCAACCTTTGGAGCTTATTCATGCAGACATTTGTGGACCCATTTCTCCTACATCAAATAGTGGGAAAAGGTATACCTTATGCTTTATTGATGATTTTAGTCGTAAAACATGGGTGTACCTGTTAACAGCAAAGAGTGAGGCTTCCAGGTTTTTAAAAAAATGGTGGAAAAGGAGAAAGGGCTGAGTATCAAGTGCCTACGGACAGATAGAGGAGGCGAATTCACCTCAACTGAGTTCGCTGCCTTCTGCAAAGAAAATGGAATCAAGAGGCAGTTAACCACTGCCTACACGCCACAACAAAACGGGGTGGCTAAAAGGAAAAATCGAACTGTCATGAATATGGTTCGGTCTATGCTGTATGAGAAAAAGCTTCCAAAAACGGTCTGGCCAGAGGCGGTGAACTGGGCTATCTATGTCCTGAATAGGTGTCCCACATTGGCAGTGAAGGATATCACTCCACAAGAGGCGTGGAGTGGCATAAAACCCTCAGTTGAGCATCTCCGTGTCTTTGGAAGCTTAGCACATGTCCATGTTCCAGATGTCAAGCGAGGTAAACTAGATGATAAAAGTTTTCCTTGTGTTTTATTGGGAGTTAGTGAGGAGTCCAAGGGATATAGATTGTTTGATCCTATAGCTAAGAAAATTATTGTGAGCAGGGATGTTATCTTTGAGGAAGAAAAACAGTGGGATTGGGATGTGAGTTATGAGGGACAGATTATGCTAGATTTGGAATGGGGAGAAAATGAAGAAAATGGTGAGGGAGAAGAAAGAAATGTGGGTGAGAGCAGTGTGGGTGAGAGCAGTGAAGAAACACAGGGTTGTACTCCAAATGAACTTGGTGAGGATGAAGGGAGGGTTTATGAAGGAAGAGTAAGACACCCTCCTTCTTACTTAAGTGACTATGTCACTGGAGAAGGGCTAAGTGAGGACGAAGCACACATAGTTCAAGTCGTGTCAACCGAAGATCCTATCTATTTTGAAGAAGCAGTGAAAGAAGAGAAATGGAGACAAGCTATGGACAGTGAAATCAGCTCAATTGAAAAGAATAAAACATGGTCTTTAAGTTAATTGCCTACTGGAGCTAAAAGGATTGGGGTCAAGTGGGTCTATAAGACCAAGTACAACGAACATGGAGAGATCAACAAGCACAAAACACGTCTAGTAGCCAAAGGCTACTCACAGAAGAACGGCATAGACTACACAGAGGTCTTTGCACCAGTGGCAAGGATGGACACGATGAGAATGATCATTGCATTGGCAGCACAAAAGGGTTGGAGGATTTTCCAGTTAGATGTCAAGTCAGCGTTTCTTCATGGAGAACTGAGTGAAGAGGTTTACGTTGAGCAACCAAGGGGTTACGAGAAGGAAGGAAATGAGCACTTGGTTTATAAACTACACAAAGCTTTGTATGGTTTGAAACAGGCTCCACGAGCTTGGTTCAGTCGAATCGAGGCACACTTTATCAAGGAAGGTTTTCAGAGGTGTGACAGTGAGCAAACCTTGTTCACAAAGAAGAATGAAGCAGGAAAGATCATCATTGTGAGTATTTACGTTGATGATTTAATTTTTACTGGTAATGATAAAGATATGATGGAGGAGTTCAAGAAGTCCATGATGAGAGAATTTGACATGACTGATATGGGAAGCATGAGGTTTTTTCTCG